TTTGGAGCCACACACAGTAATCAGTTACATACAGATTGTTGAGTATATAGTAAGGCTCATATGAATCAAGGAGCTTTTTCACTGACAGTAGACATTTGAGGAGATAAACTTTACCTTAAGAAAAAAATGAAAGAAAGAGAATGTACCAAAGAGAGAGAGGGGGGGAGGGAAAGCATGAGAAGAATATAACATATCAGTAGTATAATTATTATTATAAATGAAAATATTTTGAGTTTCGGTCATTTAAAAAAATGCAAAGCAAGAAAAGGATATAGCCAATGGTTATTTCCAAAAAATGGCTCCAAAATTACCCTAAGTTTTTATTACACTTTTAGATACATATTGATGTCCTTATGCTGTTTAGCAAGTTTGAGGTGATTCCGACAAATTATTTTAAAGTTATAATCATTTTAAAAACAAGCGAATTTTTGAAAAAAGGCAAAGGCATGAAAAAAAAACATGGGCTATAGCCTATGGTTTTCCCAGAAAATAAAAAGGAGACTATTCAAATGTAAACAATGAAATTGTCTTGATATTACCATTTTTAAATATGTCAACAGTATCTCTCAATACCAACACTGATAAATCATAGTTACGATACAATGGATAACAGAGTGACCTTCTGTATAAGCAATATACCACTTCTTGAACATCGTCAGTGAACTTCTAAATAAAATTAAAAATTACTAACACACAGACACACAAAGGCCATTCATTATACAATAAAAAGTTTATGTTTTATCACTGCTTTTTGAAGTCTGTTCACATATAAACAAAAGTAAATTTTCAAACCAAAAATTAAAAAAATATTTTTGATAACATATATACTGCTTGCTCATTTACTACAGTCAAGAGTGCATTATTCTAATTACCGTATAGCTGGAAATATTTGCTGGAATTTAATTTTGCTGTTTGCTGTTCATCATAAAAACGCACAATTTAATTCCGCAAAGCATTATAAGTAATGGATGTATCAACAGTACACGCCTACACCAGCAAAATTAAATTCCACAAACATTAAAATTAGCTATATGGGTACAAAATCGCAAAATATAATTCCCGCAAACTTTTCCAGCTATACGGTATGCACCACAATTTTTGTCAAGCACTATATAATCCATAGCCTTAATTACCAATGGAAATATCTGATGTCATACCTCAAACCAGCTCAAAGTTGGACTGAGTTTGCGTATACACCATGCTGACTCAGACTAAAAACAAAAGTAAAAATAATGATAATATTGACAATCTCCATCTCTTTTCATTCTCGCTTTCTTTTTTCTCCTCTTAATTTTCTCTCCCTCCCTCTCTTTATCTTCCTCCCTCTCTCTCCCTCCTTCTCTCTCCTCCCTCCCTCTCTCTCCTTTCTCCCTCTCTCTCCTCCCTCCCTCTCCCTCTCTTCCTCTCCCTCCACCTCTCTCTCTCTCACATTATTGTCTCCTTCATTGATTCTGTTATCATAAGCATATGCAAATATAATATCAACCAGTCCAAGCAGTAATACTCTCTCCTGTTTTGAGTCAATTATATGTAATTTATAAAAGTCAAAGAATTATTGTAACAATAGCAAGAAAAGAGAGAAAAAGAAAACGAGAGAAAAGATTGTATAAATACTACTATAGGAGGATATATTCTTTATTTGGTAGATCCTTCAGTGTTGTTTTCTCTTCATCAGTAAAAGAAGTATCTTATAATTGAAAATGAATAAATGTTAATGTTAATAATACAAGTATATTACCAGGTTTGAAAGCATATTTCAGTAGATTTGTTATATTGTCACCATCCATCAAGTCAGCTCTATAAATAATAATAAAAATAATAATAATAATAATAATAATAATAATTTTGTTTGTTTGTTTTTTTTTGTTTGCTTCTCATAATAATAATAATAACAATAACAATAATAATAATAATAATAATAATAATAATGAACCATGTGGTCAAAATGGAGATGGAATGGTGATGCATGTGTGTGGTAAAGATTTCTACTAGAGTAGAGAATAACGGCATAAAGTACATCAAATTTGGTGTGGTACCCAATCGGAGTCTTATTGTATAGCAGAATAAGTCCAGTTGTAATTGAGCTGCTGAGAAAATGTCTTCTTCAAGAAGTCTTCAGAGAACCAGGTGGACTAAGGCTATGAATGTAGCAGCAATGGAATACTTATCTAATCCTGTGGATAATAATGGCAGGTCAGTTAGGGGGTACAGAAAAAGGATGCATGAGAGTTGGAAGGTCAGAGGAGGTGATTTGGGAATATCTGAGCAAAGGTTGTGTGATCAAGTGAGAGCTATTAGGGAGAATGGTTGGCTAATAAAGGTGGGCGATACTATCGAAATATTATCGATACAACCAATACTGGACTGGTATCGAGTAGTATCAGTATCACGATATTAAGAACAAAAGCATCGATACCGAGACCACACCCATAACCACACCTTTATTGATTAAATTTTGGTTATCTTCATGCTTATAATCGTAGTTAATTAACTGAAATTAATTAATAAAGGGTGTGGTTAGTATCGTATCGAATAGTATCGATATCAACAATACCAGAATGGAAAATACTCAGTATCGTATCGATTCCAAAAAATACAGTATCGCCCACATCTATTTGGCTAAGTCAAGTACAATGGCCACTGTTTATGTAACGTAAAAAAGAACCTCCCTTCTTAATGCTACATATTATAAATAGTGGCCATTGGTTTATACAGCACTTTTTACCTTAATAAATAATGATATTTATGCAGTGTAAATCGGCCTTCATTTCAGTGTATTAGCGGCATGCATGTTAATAAAAGTAGCCTGGACACTCATCACATTACATGTTATACCACACCAGAGTTCAGTAGATACATGTTGTTGCACACTGCAGTACAGTAGAGTATAAAGCAATGGAATGGGCCATTGTTCAGTTAAGGTGTCAGTCCAAGTTTTAGTGACTAGTTGGCTTTCCTATGGCACATGACTACTATACTGTAGTACCTCAATACAAGGATACACTGTATACTGTAAACAACTTATATCTAATGGACAGTAGCTGATGATTGGGTCACAATGTAAGCCCATGCACAGATACAGTTGCATCAAGTGCTCTTGGTTGTGTGTATTTTTGGAGATATTTCAAATTGACTTGACTGCAGATCAAAGTAACCACAAAAGCTGCTTCTGTATACAAAGTTAAATATATACATGAGTTTACAAATAGTGTTTTCAATTCCATTTTAATAACATTAATATTAAGTTTTCGTGTGCATTTGAATGGAATGAATCTTAAAATACAATTACATGATGCTAGCTGCATAGTTGCTTAGTAGCTGGTAAGCCCATCATCCACTATTCAACTTTGTTGAAGGTAACTTTGTGGTTACTTTGATCTTAGGGCAACTCTATTGCCTGAAATAGAAGTTAGTTCTATTTCAGGCAACAGAGCCTACAGACAGCACATCAAAGTAACCACAAAGTTGCCTTCAACAAAGATGAATAGTGGATGGTGGGCTGTATAGCTGCATATTGTATGCTTATTACCAATTTGAGGAGTATCCACTGAATTCATTCAATATTATTCAATAAGGACAGCACACATGTATATAAGTTGTTTACAGTATAGAGTGCAGTGTATCCTTGTATTGAGGTACTACAGTATAGTAGTCAAGTGCAATAGGAAAGCCAACTAGTCACTATAACTTGGACTAACACCTCAACTAGACAATACTCCATTCAATTGATGTATACTGCATTGTATGCAACAACATGTACATGTATCTACTGAACACTGCATGGTGAGGTATAGCATGTAATGTGAAGAGTGCCCGGGCTACTTTTATTTACATGCATTGATACACTTAAAAATGAAGGCTGATTTACAATGAAGGCTGATTTACACATGCAAGGTATTGCTATGCATTAAGAAAGGAAGTGCATCATAAACCAATGGCTGCACTATTTACATAAAGTAAGAATTGAGATACTTTCTATTGTTACATTACATAAATGATGGCTTACTGTAAGCCCAAATAATTCAAAGGGTAAGTTCAACGTATTTTTGGGATATTTAGTGTATAGTAGTCATCTGCAATAGGAAAGCAAACTAGTCACTATATTTTTAATTGAAGTTCGTACATCAATTGATTGAAGTGTCAGTCCAAGTTATAGTGACTAGCTGGTTACACTTATTACGCGTGACTACTATAATGTAGTAGTAATGTGCAAGAAAGCCAACTAGTCACTACATTATAGTAGTCATGTGCAATAGGAAAGCCAACTAGTTACTATAACTTGGACTGACACCTCAACTGGACAATTTTACAGCTTCATGCCTCGTGCCGGAATCATGTCATGCAGCTAGCCTCTGATTGGTCAGTTTTGCTAAATTGCTAATGAATATTGATGAGGTACCTAATAGTATATAAGGAGGTGACCAGTAGCAGTCAATCACTTCTCACTAAAACAAGAAATCATCTCACAAGAAGAAGGAATACTGTCTATCAAGGAAAGGAATCATGAAGACTCTACTCTCACTCTTCTGTCTGGTTACTTACCTGACCTGTGCTCTGAGGTATGTTACTACACTATCAAATCAATGTTACTTTTCTCTTGTACATGCAGTCAGCACCCAGTCTCTCTTGATATGGCTTGTAATAAAGCTCTTTCTGCAGTTGCTTGCTCTTTTGAGTTTACCAACAATGGGAATGAGGATCTTTATCTACTCAAACGTAACACTCCTCTTGAAGGACTCAACTCTCAATTTGTCTCTGTCTCTCTTGACGGTCGTCCACTGGAATATGAAGGAATCATCATTCATCGTCTCCCTCCTACAAAGGATGAG